TACTTTACGAGGAAAACAAGGAAGCATATGACCTTCGATACCTCACTAGTTACACTTGGCGAAATCATGTTAAGGTTTGGATGTTTACAAGATCTATGAAGGGATTGCACATACGGACTTTGCTCATCCACAACTTTTTCTGGACAAGACCTCGGACTTAGAGGTAGAGCAACAAGAGTTCATCCCCAAAGACAATATGGCCCTTGACTCTCTTAGAAAGTCTTCTGGCACATCTAAGGGGAAATGAGTCGCAGGAGAAAATTAGCTTTAAGGCCTTTCTGGCTAAGAAGGAGGCCTTTCCCTTATCTGACTTCAAACTCTTTTTGTTGTAGTGTGAACTTTTCTTCGTTCTTCCTTTGCTTCATAAGGAAATCTTAATTCGATAAACTTCTCTAAAGTAAACAAACTTTATATGAGAAATAAGTGGCAGAGTGGGATACAAGTAAGCTTGTGGACCTGGGATAAAACTTGAAATGCCCCTTTAGCAATGTTGATTCAAGGAAACATTGTTTCCCAAACTTAGTATTCATAGGGTTTTCTCATCGCGATATCCGGAATACTACCTTACTTCGGTAACAAGAATTAAACATCAACCCATGAGAAAACTTTTGCTTTTGCACTTATTGAAACGCATTTATTGGATTAAGGAGCTTCAAACCATACTTGAAGACATCCTGTAAACAGATGTTGATTGCTTTGTACCTTGCCTCATTTCATTGGAAACATAGTCGTCAGCGTATGGGTTAGAACCACCTTTCAAATCCTTTTGTCAGACCCTACGTGTCGGACCTTAGTGTTTTCGATCGGACAACCTTGGTTGTTTTAACTAATGCATTTTTGTGTATCGAAGATCCGTTGGAATAAAATTCCTCTTGGGGATTGCCTAGTCTGGATGCCCCCTTCGAACCTGCTGACATACAATGTCGCAGAACATACTTGGCTTAGTATGCTGGTTCGGATAGAAGTAGTCATACTTAGGGTTGGAGTTCAGAGCCATCTTCAGATGATTTCTGAATTGCCATTTCGACTATTCCCTCGTATGGCGTAGAGCCTGGGTTTGAATGTTATAACCCACAACCTTGCTAGCTATATAAACTTTCTGAAAGCCGAAGGCTAGACAGTGCATTGGACATCTGGTGAAGTGCCATATGCCTTTGCCTATAACCCGCCAATCATTATCGCGCTTGTTATGGTTCAAATTTCCCAAGCTGCTAATCGATCAACACGGATTGGGCTAAGAGAGGCTCATCTAACAGTGTAATTTCAAACTTCTTTAGACTTGCATTCGTACTAAGTTTTCAAAGTTTGTACCCTATTTGGAATGAGTAAGGTAATCTACTGCATCACAAGGAAAAGAAAGAACATGCATTTAAGACATATAACATTTATTTATTCATGATAGAAAGTAGAATTAGATTGATAAAAAGGTGTGATTGAATCTGAAAAAGATTGCCTACATATCTTTAGGAAGGACAATCAAATCACAGGTAGTTTTAAGAAAAAGATGATATGATGTAAACATTACACCAGGTATCACTTTTGATACCAAGACTATGATGTGGTGTAAAGAGATAAGTTCTCCATGGACTTGTCTTCATGTAGACGACGACATTGCGATTGGATCCAGAGAGGACTACCTGCCTATCTCAGGAATGGAATCAAACTGCATGTAGTTTGCGTGGTGCCTATCCTTGTTTAAGTTACTTGTCAGTTATTGAACACCTATGACGCGAGTGCTTTTTTTTTGCTCGATCTCTTGGTGAAGATTTTCTACTTCTAATTGGAGGCCAGTCCATTCCACCTCTCAACCATTCTACTTTAAAGACAACGCCCGCTCCAATTCAACTTCAAAACGTGCCAAGGCTTGATCCGTCTCAACTTTGGCATGGTGCTTTAGTCTTAACTCTTCTTGCACCTTCACAAGATCTTCCTGGTATTCTTTCACCTTAATCTCCTCAAAAGTACAACGTCAATGTACCTCCCTATCTCTTTCTCGTGAGCTTCCTTCACCTGCATTATACTGAGCTTTACCGTTTGAACTTGCAACCATTTTCTAGTTATAACTTAGCCTATAATTCATGCAGAAAAGCCCGCTCAAGATCTCGGATCTGTTCCGCTTGGCGAAAAATGGCTACTTTCATCTAAACATGGGCTCGATTAACATAAGTAAGGAAAATGAAGGGCAAAAATTATTGGAATCGTTATTTAAGAAAAAGGATGAAGAACTACCTCATATCGATTTGCATGACACCTTATCATGGTGTTTTCAAAAGTTGTGCGAACCTCTTTGTAGTCCACTAGAGCAATTAAGGTACCAAGGAGGGTGCGAGCAAAGTTTGTATTCCGGATACCACTAGCATCCACCAAAAGAGCAACGTGATTTATTAAAAGTCTGATCACAAGTGGAGATTGCACTTTCCAAGTCTGCTAGAAGGTGTTAGTAAAGGAATGTTAGCCTTAGAAGGCACCTCAACGGGTTTAGGTGAATTTCTGAGCGGTGTAGGAATTGGGACTGAGGATGAAAAAAGTGCAAAGATCAAAACTTCATGAGGATGTGGTAGAGGACTCATTTGCTGTTGTGAAGACGAAGGCTTGAGTTTGGGCTTGTATAGTTGATGTGGTGTTAGGAGTAGAAGATAAAGGGATTGTGGCCCACCAGTGGAAGGCAGTGAGGCAGATGTCTCAGGGTTTGTGGTAATCGGAGTATCAAGAAGTCTCTTTTCCTCATCAGTGGAGTTCTTGCTCATCTTCAGGATTCTCGAGTTCCACATCCATTATTAACAGCTATGGTTAAGAAAGGGTAGCTAGTAATGTTGAAGAAATGCTATTAGACCATTTTCATTTCTTCTTTGCTGAAGTAAAAAAAACTTTGGTTTTAGAGAGGAAGGTACCTTTATCAACTTATGTCGATTTGACCTATTTAGGGTACGAAATGGGAAACTTAGAGCAGTGATTAACAACCATACTCTTTCCACGATCCGAGAATCAAACTGGGAAAGTCGGCTAGCTCCAATTAAGACGTTCGAAAGGGATCCACATAGTCTGATTGATCATCTTTAATTGACATACTCCTATATCCTCCAGGGCATTGTTGGGATGGAGATTAGGAGAGGAGGTGTTCCTAACTCTAACTCCATAGATGTTTCCTTCCCAATCGTCGTTGACGTTCCAAAACGTCTTTAAACCAATCCTTATCCTGCAAGGGGATATCTAATATGTATGGCCCTTGGATAAGGCTGGGTTTGGGTGTGAAGCACTAGTGACCATTAAAGTTTTTCTGCACGTTGAACATCATCCTAAACTCCTGAAGGTCGAGGTCGATCGGCTCTATATCATTGGTTGTTTGAAGCACATAATATGTCTGAAGGCGGTTGGCTATAAGTGACAAATAGCCATACCATAGCTAACTAAGATACCTTTTAAGAGATTAGATGGAGGAAACCTTAGGCCTAAGTCTGATAACCATGGATGGATTCTGGTGTAGGGCCATTGAGGATCAGATGGAACAGCAAGATCGACATAAACATCTGGCCTGGTTCCTACCAGACCTTGCATTGGCTGAAAGGTCCATATGACTCTCAACGAAAGCCTGACCTCCTTCTTGGATGCAAACCTTCATTAGTGGAAGGTTGTATGACTAAACCTTAGGCAATTTTGAAGGCAATTTTGAAGTTTTATTCGAAGACGCCATTTAAAAAGTTGGAGAAGATTTGAGAGATTTTTTAATGAGTAAGTCAAGAAAGTTGAAACCTTTTTCCTTTGAATGATTTGGGGATTTTTTTTAAAGATGAAGGAAAAATGTACAAGGTTAAATAAATAGCATAAAAGGAAGCCATCCAGCCGTTGAACATAGATAAAATTTTGTTGGGATCAATGAATCTAACGGTTAAAATCAGTAAAGAGTATCGCAAGTAATTTCTTATTTTTTGCACACACGCAACAAAAGTAGATTTTATAATTACATTCTTGATGGCACGACTTTCGAGACACATGTCTGAATCTGAAACATCTCCACTACTTTGTAAAGAATCAGATTACCATATAGAAGACCAAACAACATGTATTCCAGCTTACTTTGAAATGTATGGTCTTTGGATAACTATCCATCCTTAACGGGAATAAGTGCCTTTCAGATACATAGTTAGGAGCAATTGTGGGAACATGATTTTCTAGGGTAGGAATAAGTGGATCGGAATACAACTTCCTCAAAAGTCTAGTCATAGACTTGATAACTTTGTGCAAAGCTGGATCAGATGGAGCACCAGTGCCACCATCACCCTGGTTCGGAGCAATGGGCAAAGTCTGAGCAATTTCGCTAGAATAATCAAGCATGCATTGAATCTACCAAATCTTGATATGTCTTGGAGTTCCTACAATTTAGGGTTTGGCAACTCCAACAATTTAGGATTTGGCTTGCGCCGTAAGTAATCACACCCGATCTTAGGCTTACTCATAGTTGGTCATATTCGAGTTAATAGTGATGACAGTGGGAACTGGAGATTGCCGGAGCGGCACCGGGGGGGCATGGGGGGGGGGTTGGATAGGGTGTTTGACAATATTGGGTTCTTATTGTAATTTTATCATTATTTAGTTTGATTCTATATGTTTTAATTTTTTTTTTTATAATACAAGAATCTACATGCCACGTCCGCAAGCAAATGGTTTATGTGACGGAGTTTAGTGGAATAATAATGTGAGACACAAAGAATGTAAGTGGTAAAGTGGGATAAATTAGAGTATAGAGAATAAAATGAAATTTTGTGAAAAGCACATATATCATATATTGAAATTAAACTTATTAGTTACATATGTTTCTGAATTCAATTCGGCCCCACACAGTATCATCATGTGAAATACAATGACTGATCAATTAGCACATTTTACTCTACCTAATTATTTGCCTTTGTTAGGTTGGACTGTTCATTCACAGGTGGAAACCCCACTATCAGCACCGGAACGGGACCTGGTGCTCCACTATATAAACCCCATCCCACTCGGAATATCGACATGCCATTTTCTCTCAAGTGAAATGAAGGAGATGAAGAACTTTGCCGTTTTTGGTAAAAAGCTAGAGAGCTTTTATAGAAATTCATGCATAGCTTTAAGTCGTTCGCTATTTCGTGTCCTGCTCTTTCATTCAAACCCTTTCTGTTTCCAGCTTTTTTATTTCCTAACGGTCTCTCTTTTTGGTTATTTGGCTTTGAGGGTAACAAAGCCAAGAACAAGCACAAACACTTCTTTCAGGCCCAAAGATTATGATATCTTCTTCACATCTGTGTCTGCCACAACAGTCTCAAGCATGTCAACAGTTGAAATGGAGGTCTTTTCAAATACCCAACTAATTATTTTGACGATTTTGATGTTATTGGGTGGGGAGGTTTTCACTTCCATGCTTGGACTTCAAATCGCAAAGTCCAAAATTTTTCCCAAATTTCTTAATCACAAAGACGACAACAGAGTTGATGTTGTTGTTGATAATACAAGACACCATCCCCCAGACTCTAATAACAATATTTCTTTTGAGCAAGTTGAGTTGGGGTGTGTCAATGATCGTTCACATTTAGAAAATGATGAGAAAAATAATATCAAGTACAAGTCCATTAGGATTTTGGGTTATGTAGTTTTGGGATATCTTTTAGTGGTTCATATAGGTGGTTCTACTTTAGTTTCCATGTACATAGCCCTTGTACCAAGTGCAAGACAAATACTTCAAACCAAAGGCATCAAAATCCAAACATTTTCTATTTTCACCACTGTTTCTACCTTTGCTAATTGTGGTTATGTTCCAACAAATGAAAACATGATCGTTTTCAAGAAAAACTCAGGTCTTTTACTGCTTCTTCTCCCTCAACTCCTCATAGGGAACACATTGTATCCGTCGTGCCTTCGGTTTCTGATCTGGCTTTTGCAGAAAATCACGAAGAGAGCAGAATTCAGTTACATACTGAAGAATTATAAAGAATTGGGCTACTGTCATTTGCTATCTAGTCTTCACTCTTTTCTTCTGGCCTTTACTGTCTTGGGATTCATAGTAGCTCAGTTTATACTATTTTGTGTCATGGAATGGAAATCAGAAGCCATGGATGGTCTAAGTGCGTATGAGAAATTTGTGGCCTCAATCTTCCAAGTGACGAATTCAAGACATACCGGTGAATCCGTTGTTGATCTCTCTGTTCTCTCTCCTGCAATCTTAGTGTTCTTTGTGGTGATGATGTGAGTCTCTCTTTCTGTCCCTAAAATATTTGGCCATTTTTTATTGTTTGAATCAGGATTCTTACTTTTCTCGTTATCTATTCACTTTTAACTAACTGGGATACTTTTATTTATTCTTGTAATAATTATGTGAGTGCTTAGAATAGTGCACTAGCTAGTGTGGAAAGAGAGTTTGGAACACTGATATAAATATGATCTTTCTAACATTATTTATAAAAAAATTATTTTTGAATACATGTCATTTCCTTCTAAGGATTCGTTGGGCAACACCTTCCCTTTTAGTTTTTAGTGTTCGTTTTTGTTAAATGTAAGGGAAGAAGTATAAAGAGAGACAGATTAGTTTACATTTTGGTTTTCATTTTACGTAACATTCCTTACATGTTTCGACCCTCATCCATCAATTCCCCTCTTTTTCCTTTCTTCGTCACTATTTTCTCTCATCAATTTCTCCACTTTCTCACAAGGTCTCGAGACTTGCATGCAAAATTTGTATCTCAAAACTTCAACCAAAATAGATACCATAGTGATCGTGATTTACATTAATGTTTCACCTAGATTAATGATTGTCATGATTTAGACTGTTATTACAGCATTCTAGTTCTAGGTTTGTTGTTTTCCTTTACTAGTCCCTGAATTAGTAGATATTAATTAACTGTAGATTGAAATTAACTTAAAAAAGGAACAAGGTTGAAGATATAGATTGAGAAATTACCTGTCCCATGCATAATACTTTTTTTTTTTTTTTGAATACATCGATATTTTTACACTAAGGTGATTTTTTTTAATACATCGATATTTTTACATTAAGGGGAGGAGGAGTTCGGCTAGCCACATAATGTGCAACCTAATTTGGTGTCGAATTTACCATCCACGAAATTCGAACCTAAGACCTCTCACTTCCAAGTGAAGAGGAATACCACCAGACTGTAGTACTGAGTGGTTACTTAATACCCTTCTTATGCTTCATATATCTTCCAAGAATATTCGAAAATATATATTTACAAAAGTTGATTTTATACCACTTCACACTTGTGTATGCATTTTGTATTGACGAATTTTTCGTTTTCAAACCACTTGCACACAGTCAATATCGTCGGGTTTTTTTCTTTTCTTTTCAAATCTGATATCTTCATCCTGGAATTTACTCTATGATCTGCTTGTAAATAAAGAATTATATAAACAAAGTAAGCAATCATGACTTGTCACTATATGAAATGAAAGGGAGATTTTATTTGCATTGTTCTTTGACACCACCCTTGATAGTTGGTACGTACGTTCATGTTAGTCGCGGTTTCTCATTCTCTCGGGATAAAATAATGAAGTCAATCAAACATATAGGGAGCGGAGCTGATCCTGATGCCCCTCTTTTCCTTTCCACCACATAATCACAACTTCACATTGGTCCTTCGCATCAATTCTCAAACCCTAAAACCCTCACCAAGTGTTTAATATTTTATACTACTGAAGCGATTATTTTGCAGACCATTTTAGCCAACTTTCAAGTATTTATTCTAAAGTAATACACAAACTGCATTGTAGCTGTGATATTCTGTGAATAGACACACGCGCACACACACACACACATAAATACATGAATTGTGGCTGTAAATTTAATCGACTTTATTACTACAATTCAGGTATCTCCCGCCATATACCACATTTTTTCCAACAACTAGCGATTGTCAAGAGACTGCTTCAGCAAATGGAAGTCGAATTCGAAATCCAATAAAGACTTTGGTGGGTTCTCTAATATTCTCACAACTGTCTTATATAGCAATGTTCGTCATTCTCGTCTGTATCACAGAGAGAGATAAGATGAAGGACGACCCCCTCAACTTTAATGTGCTCAACATCACCATAGAAGTAATTAGGTAAGCATACACTTAATTCCATTTTTCTTTTCTTTTCGGTATATACTTATGTTGAACTATATTTAGTTCTCTGCACTTAACAAGTATAGAAGGTGGTTTCATAACAACTATAAGTTATCTTCTTTGTCAGACTAATAATTTGAGATGTTGTCCTATACTGTTATTCCGGATCATATACATTCATGCAAGAACCAAAACAATAATTAACAGCTCAACTTTACAGTATGATAACATCTGTATTTTATTCTAGAAGTTTATGTGTATACTATTTAGAAAGAGAACATTTTTAACATTCTTGTTCTTTTAATCCTAGAATAACATGGATTCATAATCCTTTCTCATCAAGCCTTTCTATCTAAATTTGAGACCAATAACCGATTCTCCATACTCAATACACATGCTCATATTCTTACAAGACCAATCATGTCTTGTTATTTATATAAAATAGTATGGATACCACATCGTACCATCTCTGACATAGGTATGTGGTATATTTCAGCGCTCTATTACGTATAACATGATTTTCATGCATTTTTAAACATTGAAATGACATAGTTATTCCATTGATTTAGTACGATGTTTTATAATGAATGAATATGAGATTACAAAACAAGCACTACTTAACACTATCTTTAATCTGAACTGCGTTTTATGTGCAGTGGATACGGAAATGTTGGATTCTCCACCGGCTACAGTTGTAAACGTCTATTGAAACATGATAGTGCTTGCGAAGACGCTTGGTACGGGTTTGCCGGAAGATGGAGTACCCAAGGAAAGTTCGTCCTCATTCTTGTCATGATCTTTGGGAGGCTCAAGAAATTCAGTATGAAGCAGGGTAAAGCTTGGAAGCTATCATGATTCTTAACTGATCGGACTCTATCTAGGTTTAATTTCATACATAAATCTTGTACGTAGGTAGCAAGTTGCATGTTGCATACAGATGTTGTGTTGCACATAGGTGTTGTGTACAATACAGTACGTGAAGACAAGTTAATTACAATCTTTTTGAGCTTCTTTAAAGGCTAGCATGAACCTGGTGGGCTGAATACAAGAACGAAAATAGAAAAAAAAATAGGTTGGTAAGCTCCGGCCTATGTAATAAAACCTTCGATACCAAAGGAAAAGGACCGCCTCTCAGTTACCACCAAAATCAACATCAAACAATGTCTACAGTATCTGCCATTAGCACGGGTCTAAGTCAAAGAGGTTCATCTTCAATCCACGATACAAAACGCTCAGTATTCATAAGCCTAGGGAGAAATCTCACGAGCAACCTTATTGCAGCTGCTCTGCTACTTCCGAAAACACTCAAAAAGCCAAAACTTCAAGACAATTCTTGAATATCGTCAATATGGCAGGTTCATGTCATTTCCATTGATTACATCTGCACCACCTTTGGTATCAACCTCCAACATCAATCTAGGGGTCCATATTGTATGTGTGTGGTCACATAACTACTTAGTTCGATCAATAGGGAACAATTTAACTAGATACTTAACCATTACCAGTCCTTTATTATAAATTCAAGAATTCTCATGTAGTTTTCAAATATACTAATAAGTTGAGAAATCTAATCGATGATCTATTAGAGCATGACCAGTAGATTGCACAATTGACTAGATAAATTCATTTTTTTTCTTGTCACAAATAAAATCCCCTAACATATGAGGCAACTAGCTAGGCAAAAAAGTTTACTGAATTTTGATAGGCAATTTTCCTTAATGGTACTTACGGATCCTCCATCTTTTCTACAATGGATTCAAGAAAACAATTGTGGACTAATTCAACCAAAATGTGGACCATATAAATATTTATGGTTTTAGTTGACGTATTGACACATTGAGGACATGTTTGTCCACACCTACCACTACTTTGCTAGACTCTTGACACCAATTATCAGGTTGCGGGCTCACCACCTCAATTATCCATAGAGTCCAGAAGACTAGATAATGCCTAACAGTTTACATTGATAAATTCGATGATTATTACACTACTACAATATTAGCTTTAGGTGCCGGACGATCCTGGCGGTTAATAAGTCATTTTGACGGATAAAAGATATCCGACACATAATTTATTTACTGTCGGACTAAAGTTACTTTCTGTCGGATATATCTGACAGAAATTCCTGGCGGATTTTTCCTGGCGGATTTAACCCTCAGCATTTTTGAATTCTTCTTTTTTAATATTTTTAACATATGCTTGCGGTTTTTAAGTTAATGGTGGCGGTTATAACCGACAGAAATTGACTATTTTATTATTTTAGTTTCTGGCGGTTATTATTTTATTATTCCGACGGTTTTAACTGACAGAAATTGACTATTATATTATTTAAAATGTTATATTGATTAAAAATAAATAAACAAATGGTTTAAAAAAACATTTTTCACTCACGGTCCCGTTACCTAATCTCTTAATGTTTTTTTTTTGAGACTTTTTACACATGCTATCTCGAAGTATATACAAACATATTTGACTGTTAGATCGTTGAAACTAGTTTCATAGAATGCATATCCTATCAAATTGATAGATTTAACAAACACTTAAGAGTTAATGTTATACTTCCATTAAGTATTAAAAATTATCCATTAGTGTAAATATTTTAAATTGAAGATCGAATTTGTTCAATGCATTTTTATAGGGTCGAGGAGTGTAGCTGTAAAAAATCATCAAAATCGGAGCTAAAATAATCGTTAAATTGTGATTTTTCGTTTATAACCGTCGAAAACTTTTGTTTTGTTACCTAATCTTTGAATGTTTGTTTTTTGTGATTTTTTAGGTATGCGATCTTGGAGTATATACAAACATATTTGACGGTTGGATCGTTGAAACTAGTTTCGTAGAAGGCATATCCTATCAAATTGATAGATTTAACAAACACTTAAGAGTTAATGTTATACTTCCATTAAGTATAAAAAATTATCCATTAGTGTAAATATTTTAAATTGAAGATCGAATTTGTTCCATGCATTCTTATAGGGTCGATGAGTGTAGTTGTAAAAAATCATCAAAATTGGAGCTAAAATAACCGTTAAATTATGATGTTTCGTTTATAACCGTCGAAAACTTTTGTTCTGTTACCTAATCTTTGAGTGTTTGTTTTTTGTGATTTTTTAGGTATGCGATCTTGGAGTGTATACAAATATATTTGACGGTTGGATCGTTGAAACTAGTTTCGTAGAATGCATATCCTATCAAATTGATAGATTTAACAAACACTTAAGAGTTAATGTTATACTTCCATTAAGTATAAAAAATTATCCACTAGTGTAAATATTTTAAATTGAAGATCGAATTTGTTCAATACGTTTTTATAGGGTCGAGGAGTATAGCTGTAAAAAATCATCAAAATCGGAGCTAAAATAACCGTTAAATTGTGATTTTTCGTTTATAACCGTCGAAAACTTTTGTTTTGTTACCTAATCTCTGAGTGTTTGTTTTTTGTGATTTTTTAGGTATGCGATCTCGGAGTATATACAAATATATTTGACGGTTGGATCGTTGAAACTAGTTTCATAGAATGCATATCCTATCAAATTGATAGATTTAACAAACACTTAAGAGTTAATGTTATACTTCCATTAAGTTTAAAATATGATTTATCCACTAGTGTAAATATTTTAAATTGAAGATCGAATTCATTCATTGCATTCTTATAGGATCGAGAAGTGTAGCTGCAAAAAAATCATCAAAATCGGAGCAAAAATAATCGTTAAATTGTGATTTTTCGTTTATAACCATAAAAAACTTTTGTTCCGTTACCTAATCTCTGAATGTTTGTTTTTTACGATTTTTTACGTATGTGATCTTGGAGTGTGTACAAACAAGTTTGACGGTTGGATTGTTGAAAAACGTTTCATAGAATGCGTATCACATCAAAACGGTAGATTAAACCAACACTTAGAGTTAATATTATACTTCTATTAAGTATAAAATAAGATTTTGTGGTATCAACTAGTGTAAATATTTTAAATTGAAGATCAAATTCGTTCATTACATTCTTATAGGGTCGAGGAGTGTAGCTGAAAAAAAAAATCATCAAAACCGGAGTTAAAATAACCGTTAAATTGTGATTTTTCGTTTATAACCGTCGAAAACTTTTGTTCCGTTACCTAATCTCTGAACGTTTATTTTTTGTGATTTTTTACGTAAGTGATCTCGGAGTGTGTACAAACAAGTTTGACGGTTAGATCATTGAAAAACGTTTCGTACAATGTGTATCACATCAAAATTGAGGAGTGTAGCAAAATTGTGTGGCATTCTATTATTTATATAATTGATTAATTTTAGTAAGATAATATTTCATTTTGTTGTTGTTGTATGGGAACAGTAGGGTGATTTCCAAACAATTTTTTTTTTTGAAATTTTCAGATCATCATCATAATTTAAAATTTCTAAGTTTCGGACATTTGTACATCAATCTTTGTGCTTCTGTATATGCAATTCAATAATATTTGGTAAATATTTTATGTAGAATTATTATACATTTTGTAGTATATCAGTATATATATATTAGACAAAACAAAATAGTATGTATGTTTATAATCAATCTCACACTCAAAATAAATAAAAATAATAATCAATCACACTCTCATTTTCAATAAACGAATATATAAATAATTAACAAAAGATATCCAATTTAACAAAGAACATGGCAAAATATAAAAAACGTTTACAAGATACACACAATTAGTAAATAACAGCAAAATGTTCAATTTTTTTGGAATATTTTAATTGGATTATCCAAATTAACAATGAACATGACAAAAAAAAAAGTTTACAAGATGTAGTTAATAGTTATCTATTAAACCAAACAATTATTTATTTTCGACGAAAAAAAATAATTATTTATTTAATTTTTAAAAACTTATTCTACTTAAATACATTTTTTTATTTATTTATTAAACCAAACAATTATTATTTTATTTTTTAAAATAGTAACAAAATTTTGGGGGGAATTTAAAATTTTGGGAGGGAATTTAAAATTTTGGGAGGGAATTTTGGGGGGAATTTTGCCGGCATTTTTTATACTGTCGGTTTTAACCGACAAGAATGAAAATTTTCCGTCGGTTTATATTTTTTTAAAAACTTTCTGTCAGTTTTAACCGACAGTAATGAAATTTTTTTTATTCCCACATCCTCGGTACCTCTGTTTAGATTTTGTAATTTTCATTTAAATTTTCGAAGTGGGATTAACCCACTCTCGGTCCCTCTGTTTTCCTCATTCTGGAAACATTATCTCTCTTTGTAAACTTTCTCCCTCTCTTGAACTCGCTCATTCTCTCTCTCTCTCTGTGTCACCGAGAACCACCATCACCATCTCCACTTCTCTATGCACGAAACCAAGCCACCACCACCATTTTCTACATCCTCAAGCTTTGGGTATTTAGCTGGTACCCTTGCATGTGTGATCAGTGACGAAGAGGTCAAGCTCGAGAGCTCTGAGTTCCCATTTCGAGACTCAGGTGAGGCTTATGAACTCAAACCTACAAATTTACATTCTTTACTTGTTTTCGTGGTGATTGGTGACTGAATTTTAGTTGGGGTTCGAAGGTTTAACCCATGCGTTTCTCTGTGTATGCTTTCCAAATTCCAACGAGGAAATCCGATCAAATCCGAACGAGTTTGTAACTGGTGGTGCACATACTCACCTGAGACCGATTCTATGTAACTAAAAACTTCCTTGCATGAGTGTTTTAACTGGAAAACCTGGTGAAACTTACATGCCTGCTCTTTGTCCTTCGTTTTCAGAATCCGGCAAGGGTAAATAGACGAACTTCAACGAGTTCGAGACACATTCTCCCCTCATTTCCACTTCTCTTTACTTAAGTAAGTTTCTGAGGTTTTAGTTGTGCTAAGGGGTTGAAAAATAAATTAAAATTTGGGGGTAACTCAACCTCTCCGTCCTCCACTTCACACTCGATAACTCTCTCGCTCTCTTTCTCTCTTTCTCTGGACTGAGATTTCGATTGTGATGGATTGATGGGTTTTGGGCAGGATTACCCGGGCTGGACGAATCCAATCTACGAAGATGGATTGGATATGGGTTTGGTTCGCTTTTGATTTTGAACCATTTTATTGGTTCCACTGTAACCCCAGCACAGCTTGTAAGAGAATGAAACGTTTTTTCTTATGTTGTATTTGTTTCAGTTTGTGTTGAATTTTATGTTAATTTTTGTGGGTTTGTGTGTTGCTTCTTCTTCTTCCCCCTTTTGGTTCCCCCCTCTTGCTTCATTTCTTCTGATATTTTCTCTCTCTCTCGCTCTCTTCAAAATCCCACAACAGGTTTCCAAGATCGAGCTCCGGCGAGGTTTCGAATGGTGAATGCAGGGGGCAGAAATATTTTTTTATTATTATTATTAACATATTATCTGTCGGTTTTATCCGACAAGAATGATTTATTTATTTTATAATAAATTCTCTG